CCCTAAACCCTCAACCCTAAGCCTAAAACACAAGTCCGCAAAGGCCCAACCTACGAAGCAAGGCTACCTATGCTGAACCCACAAAACTTAAGCTCATAAGCCTTTCCTCCTCCCTGAATTCCGAAGCCCTGTATCAGCCCGAAAAACTAAAATCCGAAACCCCAAACCCTATGCCTTCTAGGGGTCTTCATAATTAGAATAAGGTTTTGGGGCTCATGATACTACAAAAATAGATTAAGGGAGCCCCCCAAAAATAGTATTGGTAATTACCTACTTAGGTTCCTGTATTATGCCTACACCGATACATACCCGGAGCCGACAATTCCGAAACCCCTCACCGCTGACTTCCTCAGCCTCAGATAATGTAGGGGCCTAAATAATTACCAATACTATTTTGGGGGCTCCTTTTTGCAATTATAGGAGATATAGGGCCCTAGGGGCTCTAGTACCCTATATAGTAGGTACCTGGGAGGTTAGGGTTATTGAGGCCCCTGTATTATCCCCGGAGCCCGGGCCTCTGCGGCCTGTGCTGCATTGCCAGCCTCTAGAGCCTTCCACCAGTGGTTTAAGGGGGTTGGGGAGGGGGGTGGGTGGGGGTTTGGTAGGGTATAATTAGGGTTAAGGTATAGGGTTTTTGAATTTACAGCAAAGCCCCCCCCCCAAAAAAAAAAAAATTGGAAAATTGGAAACTGGATTAAGGACAATTTAGTGCTGGGATTCCCTCTACATTTCTCTTTAAAAAAAGATGAGGGCCACTGGGCTTCTGCCATGGGGCTTAGGGCCACGAGGGTTTCGGGTTGAAGGGTTTCGGATCCTGGAAGCTGAGTGCTGGAGGTTTAGGGGTTCAGTGTTTAAAGGGTTAGGGTTTACGGTTTAGGATTTAGGGTCTAAAGGGTTTAGGATCTGAAATAAAGGTTTTAGAGTTTCGGGCTGAAGGCTATGGGATCGCAAGGGCTTTGAGTTGTTAAGGATTAGGGGCTAAGCTTTGTTAGGGGTTTAGGGGCGGGGTCTTGGAGCTAAGGCTCTTGAAAGGTTTGGGATTTCGGATTTTATACGCGCTTATAGGATGCTACAGGCTTTGGGGCTAGGGCATCGGGATTTAGTTCTGATAGTGCTCTACAAGGGCCTTGTTTAAGGTTTGCACAAGATTGTACCAGGATCTTAAGGGTTCAGTTGCCGAAGACGACACTTGGCCCTCATTCTAAGAGAGGCTAGATACGCGGTGGTGGAATTCTCCGCGGGTGTCCGCATGTTGCAGTTTGGTGGTTGTGGCAAAAAGGCCTCGACAGCAAGGATGCATCGTAGCGAACGGGTCTATACCCGGCTCATACCCGCAACTCTAAACCCTATACCTGGACACCAACAAGGGACGCTCATGTCCCTATACTATACAGGGGCGTAAACAAATTGGATTCGAATCTGGTTTGGGGGTATTTAAGACTGTAGCTATCATAAGGAGCACCGAATTATATTCAAAATGAGGAGCTCCAAAATAGTATACCTATAATAATGCTGGGCTATTGTTGAACAAGGACTCAAAGAACCATGAATCAGAGCCCTACATCGTGCCAACAAACGAGGGGAATCCGAAAATAGGGGACCCTCATATAGTACCCTACATAGTAGGATCCTTATTATAAGGACCCAAAAAAAACGTACCCTAATTTTCGGAAGGTCCCCAATGAATGAAGAGGCAAAGGTCCGGCCTTGTTCCCCTTCTCTTTCAACTCCAGCACCACCTCCGCAGACACTCTGGAGCCCCGCTGAGTAGGACTTATCCTTGAACGACGGTTTTAGTTTCTATAGGGTTGTCTTAATAGGGTTTAGAGCTTAAGGTTTAGGGTTTAGAGCTTAAGGTTTAGGGTTTAGAGTTTAAGGTTTGGGGTTTAGAGTTTAAGGTTTCTTCGGGTTTAGGGTTTAGAGATCGTAGGCCCCAGGATACCGGATTGGCGTCTCTGCCTTTCTGCCCCGAGCCTCAAGCTTAGCCCGGGCTTTCAGCAATGCTTAGGTAGAGGCTTACGGCTCAACTTAGCGTTTGGGGTTTAGGGTTTAGGTTTTAGGGTTTAGGGTTTAGGGTTTAGGTTTTAGGGTTTAGGATTTAGGGTTTAGGGTACAAAAGCCCTCAACACCACCAGTTAGACCCAAAAGCACAAACAATGAACCCACAGGCCATTATGCCTTTAACCACGTGCTTGAGGTGTAGGATATATGACCTAAACCCTAAACTCTATATCATATATGGGAATCACGACTTCGGCTCTGGATTATCTTGGTATTGTTGCGGAAAGCTTCTGCAGAGTCCACTACCCTGAAAGGTTTAGGGCTTAAGGACTTTCCCTTAAGCTGCAGAGGCCTTTCAGGGTTTAGGGTTTACACGGTTTATAGGGTTCAGGGTTTAGGGTTGAGGGTTTAGGGCTTATAGGCTTTAGGGTTTAGGGCTTAGGGAGTTTAGGGTTTAAGGTTTAGGATGTGACTTCAAGTGCATTCTGTTCCATTGTCAGCGAGCAGCAACTTCTTGGACCTGCACCTGCGCAGCCAAGACCCTCAACACCTAAACCTCCAAACCCATAAACCCTAAACCCTAACCGATGCATTAAATCCTGGAGAAAGGCTCCTTTCCCTTTGGGGCCTTTCGGCGCACTGGTGATGAATACCGGCACTTCAGAAACGGCCATCGACTGGCGTGTTTGCCTGGCACGCTCCTGCCCGCTGAAACATGTGCATACAATGTCCAATTGCACGTGTCTCGGGCGCTCCGCGGCTAACCGGTCCATAAAAGCTCGGCTGTCCCCGTAGTGGATGTTGAGAACCCCGCTGAAGTCCAGGGAAATCAGAGCAGTGATGTCCTCAGGGACCTCAACCACTTCGACCACTTCCAAAGGTCCAGCGACCGGAGCAGATGATGGGGAAGGCGTCGCCTGATTATACTGTTGCCACTGTTCAACAGTCCACCGGTTGACGTCTTCACTCCCTGTCTGTTCTCTCGAGTCAATTCGAACCCTGAATGAATCCGCTATGGTTGCAAACTCTATTTCGTTCAATTCCCAGTCCTGCTGTGGTCTGGATTTCGGTCGAGCCTTCCGCGCTGGACGCAGTTTGGGAATAGCACGGCTAGGACCTGGTATTACGGGCGCGGCTTTCGCCTTGGGAGGAACGGGAGTCCGGTTAGCCTTCTACTTAGGTCGAGGCCCTGGAGGTGTCGGGGGTACGTTAACACCCTCTACCAAGGTAAGAGGCGGAGATCGCGAACGCTCCGAAGCAGGAGGAGTGGCTGGAGCTGGAATGGCGGGCTCAGGTGAAGAATGATAAAGTGCCCTAAACCTTAGACTTTAGACCCTGGACCCCCAAACCCCTAAATCCACAAACCTATAAACTTCGAACCCCGAAGCTCCCACAGCGCGAAGCCCTAAACCCTAAACCCTAAACCCTAAACCCCTAAACCCCTAAACCCTAAACCCTAAACCCCTAAACCCTAAACCCTGGTGTGGTTTATAACCAAAGGCAGCAAGGCTCCCATCCTGCACCCTAAACTCAAAACAGCCCCGGGGTTTGGGGTCTAGAGTGTTGGCTTTAGGGTTCAGGGTTTTAGGGTTATAGGTTGGGTTTTTTTTTTTGAGGGCCCTGGTTGGGTTTAGGGTTTAGGGTTTAGGTTTTAGGGTTTAGGGTTCAGGGTTTAGGGTTTCGGGTTATAGGTCGTGGGTGGCGACAGCAGCGAGGCTCCCGATCCTGCACCCTCTGATGGCTGGACAGCGGCGCCGGGGCAGAAACCATGGCCGGGCGCAGGCTCACTTGGAGACCCCTGCGGCTCGCAGATGACGGTTTAGGGTTTATAGGCTTTAGCGGTGTTGGGGTTTAGGGGTTTAGGGTGTAGTACCTATGATCTTGAAAGGTAGACTGCTCGAATCACTGCGAGATCTCGGCAGAACTGCAGTTGTTCAGAGTGCGTTCGTTTGGCATCCCAGAACCCTAAACCCAATGCCGTCTCCCATCACGATGAGAGAGATGCGCCTGATCTCGACTGAACAGCTAATGCTTGAGAAAGAGAGGCTAGGACGTGGCGAGGTCGCGGCATCAGCTTAAACCCCCGTAAACCCTAAAGCTTTATCATGTATAAGCCCTAAACCCTAAACCTTGTCACTAGCGATGCAAGATGCCAGGCGTGGGAGGGTGCAGTGTCTGGGACTACGGCTTCGAGCTTTGGGGTCCCTCATGTGATGGTTTTGAGTCTTTATGGGCAAATACATCTCGGCATAGTCTAGTCTACTACTATTTTCGAACTCTAAGGGGGGGGGGCGGTCGTAATTAATGGTAGCTGTTCGACTTTTTTTCCGCCCCAATTCCACAGACCCTCGACCCGGAACCAGGTCTACCGCTCAGAGCTTCGGGAAGAGGCTGCCTCGCTGGCAGACTCGAACCCCAAAGGAGGCGCCGATGAAACCCTAAAGCCTACATCCTAAACCCTACACCCTAAACCTTATACACCCTACACCCTAAATCCTAAATCATAAACCCTACGCCCTAAACCCATAAGACCCTAACCACCCTTGAATCCCTAGCCCTCCATGCGAAGAGTTTGGGGTTGAGGAATTCGGACAACAAAAGGTGTCCATTGAAATCACGGATACCGTGCAAAAAAACGAGGGAACACCGAACTGAACTAGGATCAACCATGTCAGGTGCCTTCGCTGATGCAATCCAAGAGGAATCTCTGATTTGAGGAATTTCTAACTTCGTGAAAGATACACGGTTTACGGTTTAGGGTTTAGGGTTTCACTAGGGTTTACGCTTCATGGGTTTTGAGCGCCAGACACCTCAGCCCACAACCGGAAACCCTCAGTTCCTACATCACATGAGTTTAGGATTTGTATTACCAGTCTCCCCACATTAAAGCCCGACCTGCAAGATCTACACCATTAAATCACTCAATCCGAAAACCTACGTCCTTAACCCAAAAACCGTTAAACCACACAACCCAAAAGCCCCAAACCGGCTCACATTTTTCATGGGGGCTGTTTTCCTGGCTTTCCTCTCATCTCGAGGACCTGTTGGCCCCACATTCCTCGTCGGCTTCGTCGGGAAGCCTTCCGTGTGGAGAGAGATGTGCAAGGCGAGGAATCTCACGCCAGCGAGGCGACCGCATAATGATATGGTTTAGGGTTTAGGGTTTAGGGTTTAGGTTTTTAAGGTTTAGGGTTTAGGGTTTAGGGATATGTGCATATCTGTTTGCGTGTGCACGTGCATACAAACACACATTACGTGATGATTATTTACACTTATGGTGACCATGGGTCTTACTACTGCGAATGTTCTGTCAGTGACAGTGGTCGTCTTGATGATGACGTTTCGGGTTGAGTTTTAGGGTTTAGGGTTTAGGGTTTGAGGAGGATGATGGTCGAGATCTGCATGATGCTGTCAGGGCCCATGCAACGAGCTAACTGGTTCCAAAGGGCCCCCATGTCTGTGTTCTAACACTCTGCAGCTCGATTGAAATCCTGTGCCTGAAAATGCTGCGTAGCGCACATCGTGGCCCATTACTACAGCTCATGCCACTAAGTTCCACATGAACCCTCAGCATCATACACACGATGTCTTGCAGTTTGAGCCCCGGATGCCCGGATCCCTCAACATCTTTCACGATAACACCGTCCAGCCGAAAGCTGAAACGCTAAGCAGCTCAGCCAGCACAGGGGGGCATGGGGCAAAATGGTCAGGCTACTAGAAAGGCCTTGATACTAGAACAAGGTTTTGGGGTCTTATTGTATGGCTTATATGAGCCATAAGGGATATCATGACTAATTATTCTGACCCCTACACTACATTGACATGATCATCGCCGGGAACCCCCCCACATGAACCCTGAATCTACGGGACCTCAAGTTCTCAACCTACTCAGACTCAAAAGTTAAATTCTAAGCCCTAAACTCAAAGCCCCCAACCCTGAAACCCAAAGCCATAAACCCTAAAACCCGAAGCCCAAAACCCAAAGGCCTAATCCGTAAACCCTGAGCCCGAAACCTCAAGCCCTAAACCCTAAACCCGAAGCCCAAAGCCCTAATCTCTAAACTCTCAACCCAAAGTCCTATATCCTCAACCCGAAGCACTAATCCCAAATAGCCCTAAGCCCTAAACCCAAATAGCCCGAAATCCTGCGCTTAGGCCTCAACCCCTAGACCTCGAATCCCCTGAGCCCAAAACCCCCGAAACAGACAAAAACAACCGCCGAGCCTGGCGCGGCTGTTGGAGTCGCTATTATCTCACCGATTTCGCCTTAAGCTGCCCAGCGGGTGAGTTTAGGGTTTAGGCTTTGGGGCTTATAGGGTTTAGGGTTTAGGGTTAGGGTTTAGGGTTTTAGGGTTTAGGGTTTAGGGTTTTAGGGTTTAGGGTTGCGTGGCTTAGTACTTCCGAACTGTAAGCGGTCTTATGGAAGGCTTGGGTGAGTGGCTTTGTAGCCTCCGAACTGTCGACATGATTCTGGGGTTTGGGGTCTTATGGAGGTTGGACCCTCTCGGAAAACGACCAAAAGATCTGTGGCTTCGAAAGGGTTTAGGGGTTTAGGGGGATAGGGGTGTATATTTGGAGACTATTGCGCCGGAGCCGAGAGAAAGTTGCTCCCTGAATGACAAGCTTCTTCCCGTGCCTTCGGTTCTGCTCCCGTGCACCGGCACGCCAGACATTGTCGCGATGATCTCCCGAACTGGTTCCTCGCTCATTGTGTTGCCTGTTGTTTTGCTGTCCATCATGGGATTGCCAGCTGTGCCATTGCGCATCACCGTGCCAGGTGCCGGAGTCGTTTCGTCCATCCTGCTGTCTGTCCCAGCTGCCCTTGCTCTCTTCGCCAGTGCTTTGCCAGTCATCGGCCGACCAGGCAGAGATGTGGGATGCTTTCCCTCCTCCGTGCCATCCGTCACGGCCTTCCTTACTTGCTCATGGAATGGGTTGAATGAGTGTTGACCTGGGGGTGGAGCTGGATTGCAGAAGCTAAATGAAAGCTATCTGGAGTGGGCTTCAAAGACCCTTGAACCAGTATTCGTATCTAGGTCTAAGTTCCCTATAAAACCATCTTGTGAAAAACATCCAAACAGAACTCAAACGTACACAGACTGAGAGGCTCCTTGCCATTTCCATTCGTCGCGCTGCCATCGCTGATTTTCCCACCAGCTGCCACCAGAGTCGCCCCCTGGTTCATCCTGTCTGTCAGCATGGCCTGCAGGGTAAGAGTTAGGATTTGGGGGAATTTTGAGGATATATAGACCCTCTCAATAAGGTCGCCCTTAAGAGAGCCACAAGTAGGGTGAAGAAGGCTCACCTTTAAGCGGTCTCCCTAATACTACCTAGGACAGGGGGCCATGAGGAGCGTTCGAACCAGGAAGCGTTGCGCAAGGGGCAAACCATTCCCTCCAAAGCTGTAAATCCTGAACCTTCAGGTATGTTTGGTTTTGGTTCGGTTAGAGCGGTTAGAACTTGTGCAGTGGCTCTAGAGATCACATGCTCTCTACGTGAGCCCTTACAAACCCATTCTTGTGACTACAATGTAAAACCCCCAAATCCTATGTCCTAAGTCCGGAAGCCCTGAAACCTCAGTTTCAAACACCATCTACCTGCATCCGGTCCGCTTTCTGTTCTCGCGCCCTCCGGTGGCGCAGTGCTCGGCGCCGGCTCAGCCTGCCGCTTGCTCTTGGTCTGTGCTCACATGACAGCGTTTTTCGTGGGAGTAATACCTATAGTCTCCATTGTAGTTCCTCTTGGGGGTTACTTTTTAGGATCCTTAATATAGAGTTGGTTAAACCAAAAACATGGAACTATGGAGACTGTAGGTAGGATGTGGGGTCGAGATCCGGGGTAGCATAGGGTCTGATTCTGAGAGCTAGGATGTAGGGTAGAGGATTCGGGAAGCTGCTACAAGTTGCCAAAGAGAGCTTGTGGCCTGGAAGTTTGTGTACACTTCCCACCTTCGAAACCCTAAGCCCACTCCAGTTTGTGAGCACCCTGAGCCCCGAAGCCCCCCAAAACGCACTGAACTCAACCCTAAACCCTAAATTCCCGCCCAAGAACCAAAAAAAGCCCCTACTTCATTCCCAAAACCGCAGCACCCAGAACTCCTTGTCAAACCTCAATCCCTCGAACCCCTTTTGACCCTAGTCCCCACGGGGTTTAAGGGTTTAGGATTTAGGGTACCTCAACCCCAAACCCCAAACTCCCATAAATTCTAGGTCCTCAATCCTTTAAACCCCCAAACTACATTTAAGCCCAGAAAGTTGGAACATGGAATTTAGGATGATTACTGCTAGGATCCCCTATACTTTGCCCTATAAAAAGGGCACCAGGGCAATGATGCTCCAACTTTCTGGCTTCTACTTGGAGGTTTCCGAAAATAGGGGACCCCAATATAGTACCCTAAATAGTAGGATCCTTATTTTTTGGACCCCCAAAAAAGGTACCCCCTTATTTTCGGAAACTCCCGCTTTAGCCATAGAACAAACACCCTCGGCCTGCTCGTGGGTCCCTGAGGTACTCGGAACATCCCAGGGGGGCGGATCGAAGGGCTCGGGCTCTAAAGGCGCAGGAGGATCTCTCCTCAGTCGTTTGTGAGATTTAGGGTTTAGGGTTTGGGTTTTAGGGTTTGGGGTTTTTCTGGGTGTTGGTTCGTATGTTATAGGGTTTTATCGGCTTTATGGTTTGTGCTAAGGAGGTTATTGAATGTTATGAAAATATTTAGAGGCGCAGCTGTTTGAGTAGGGCTTCCGTAGGATTCTTTTTGGCTATACGGTGGTTTGGCGATGGGAGTTGTAGGATTTAGGGCTTCAATAACCCTATGCTTCCAGGGACCTTACTATTGGGTCCTTACGGGGTCCACGGCCCTAACTATAAGGTCCTTGGAAGCACAGGGTAATAGTAGAGTTTGAACAGTTTTCAATTGGTTTACCTCGAGGACAGGACCCTCCTCTTCAATAATTAAGCTAGGTTCCTGAGTAGCCCCTTACTAATAAAGGGTACCCTTTTCCTACTATTTGGTTATAATCAGGGGAGCCCAAAAATAAAAAGGGCAACACGGTACTAATATAGGGGCCTCAATAACTAGAATAGGGTTTTGGGCGGTTCCTTATTATTATAATAGTAGAATATACCCCCCAAACCCTATTCTATTTATTAAGGCCCCCTGTATTACTCAGGAACCTCGTATGGGAGTTAGGATTAGGGAGACCCTTGGGGATATAGACCCTCTCAATGAGGTCCCTTTTAAGAGAGCCACAAGTAGGGGTTCAGAAGAGTCCCCCTTTAAGGGGTCTCCCTTATACTACCTAGGATCGCAGGAACCCTAAACCCTAAACCCTAAGCCCTAAACCCTAAACCCTAAGCCCTAAACCCTAAGCCCTACAGGAACCTCGTAAGGGCAGGCAAGACTCCGTTGCGGCTCCGGGTTTTCCGGCGCCTGCTCTGTTTGATCTTGCTGCGAGACTTCCTGCCCCCGACGCCGTCGAGGACCTTAAGGACGAAATGAACCCTAAAACGGTTTAGGGCTCATATACCATATAGGGATTCATAGTATAAAGGTATAACGAACTGAACCCTAAAACGGTTTAGGGCTCATATACCATATAGGGATTCATAGTATAAAGGTAAAACGAAATGAACCCT